CACACACACACACACACACACACAAACACACAAACACACACACACACTCACACACACACACACGAAACACACACGAAACACACACACGAAACACACACACACACACACACACACTTCTGCTGGCCATAAGACACTGTTTCGTCCTTCATTTTCTCTGTTTGTCCTCTGTGTTTCAGAATGTGGCCGTCGGCCCGCTGCCCGGATGGTGAAGAGGATTCTGGGAGGCCGCACGAGTCGTCCAGGCCGATGGCCGTGGCAGTGCTCCCTACAGAGTGAACCCAGTGGACACATCTGTGGCTGTGTGCTCATCGGGAACAAGTGGGCGCTAGGGAATATTTCAGCAGCTCCTGCAAGATCGGCTCTAATATTGACAGCAGTGATTCGGATTCTACAGCAGAATCTTCTGGAACGAATCAGAGAAACTGATCCAACAGTGAAACCGCATCGCTCGGCTTCAGGGCTTTCTGAGGCCTGTTTTACCGTTTCCTACAGCTGATCGTATAATCGACAGAAGTAACATTCATAACAATTAATATTCAGTTATATTATGGATTTAACTGCACTGCCATCAGATCAGAACGAAACTGAATTGATCTGAATAATGACTCTATTGTCTTCTGTAGAGCTGCTTTACAGCTGAAAGTTGTACAATATTAACACTGTATACAGTGGTGGCCAAAATTATTGGAACACTTGGCATATTTAAGAGGTTTCAGTTGTTTTTGTTGAATTGGCCGTTACAATACCCATAAAACGAACTATTGCCGGAACTAGCTGAACATTGAAAATGATGGACTGGCCCCTCAAAGTCCAGATCTCAACCCCATCGAGCAAATTTGGGGCGAGTTGGAAAATAAACTGGACAGATCTATTGGTACATTCAAAAGAAAGCCTGTGGCTTGAGTTGCAGAAGACATGGGATAACATTAGTGTTGAAGTTCTCAGGAAATATATTGACACGATGCCAGAGAGATGTGCTGCTGTCATTGCTGCAAAAGGTGGACATAACAAACATTAAAGTTAAAAACAGTATGACTTACTTCATCTGATATTTGTTGTGCTCAGCAACCATCTGCATGTTTCATGAACATTATGAAATGAAATCACGTTTTGGAGGCAAAAATATTTTCAGATTTGTCAGGTGTTCTAACAATTTTGGCCACCGCTGTATTTTCCTGTTTATTACTTGAAGCTGCTTTGAATCAATCGGTATTGTATAAAGTGCTGAAGAAATAACTGTGGCTTGATGAGTCAGTGTAAGTCATGTAAGAATGGCGTGTTTAATGTGTGTGCAGGCGTGAGAGCGCAGACGTGTGGAAAGTGGTTCTTGGCATCAATAATCTGGATCATCCGTCTCCATACATGCAAACGCGGCACGTCAAAAGCATCGTCGTCCACTCACGCTACAACCGGGCCGTGGTGGACTACGACATCAGCGTGCTGGAGCTGGAGACCAAGGTGGAGGTGACCAGTTACGTGCGTCCCGTCTGTCTGCCTGGCCGCGGACAGCTGCCCAAAGCTGACCAGTACTGCCACATCACGGGCTGGGGTCACATGGGGAACAGAAGTGAGTGGAGCACACACACACACACACACACATGTGAGGGGTCAAAGGTGACAGAATGAGCATGTTTAGGCGAACAATCCCTTTAATGGATTATTCAGTGATTAGATTTAGCTCACTCACTCACTCACTCACTCACTCACTCACTCACTCACAAAGTGAGTGGAGCACACACACTCACACACACACACGCACACACACAGACACACACTCACACACACACACACACACACACAAAATCAGATTCCAAAAATTAAAGCTGCAGTCTGTAACTTTTTTTGGTTAAAAATGATCCGAAATCAATATTTGAGCAAGTACATAACTAGACAGTGTTCGAAACTATCTCCTTACTTTAGCCCGATTCACAACGGTTAGCTT